CCGAGAAATATCCGCTTTCAAGTCAGTGAACCCTTGCCCAAACTATCTTAATAGCCCTTTCATGAACAGTCTCGTAACTTGGTTCAAGTTATCTGGTACCAAGATCACTCCACAACAGTTCTCTGTAAGTAATTCCCGTAGTTTTCGGTTTTTCGTAGCTTGTTCGCGATCGTAATTTACACTTCAGTACGATATATATATATTTAAAAACTATGAGCGTAATTTTCAGCAAATAATTGGAATAGCAATAGCTGCCACCACGAACAGGCCGATGGCTATGTTAATGCTAAAAGAAATGTTCAGTGAAGAAGAATTAAAACAGTTACGTAAACAACGCGAGGAAGACCAAGTCGATCGCGGAACACAGACGTCGACTCAAGAAAATTTTGGCTGCAAAGGAAGTACTTCCTGTTTCACAGCTTGCAGTAAGTAAATGAGCTCCTATCATGTAATTCCAAAAGTCGCAGGGCAGAAAAATTACCATAGCTGGGACAAGCATGTTAAAATTATTAAAACTGTGAAGTTTGGAGGAAATAATGTTTAAAACTCTCGAAGGTACTAATTTTCAAAAATAGAAATTTGTTTATGAAAAMATTCATTGAGAGCAAAAGCTAGATTCCTGATCAGCAATATATAAATTTATCTTAATAATTAGCTTAAACATTTGATTTTGAACAGAGATCATAAACAAGAGCATTGAAACTTTACATCAATTTTGCACTAAAAACAATCAGCAGTTTAAGACTGTGRAAGATGTAAGAGAAATATGTAGGAAAGCAGATATTGAAGACCTTTGGGATGGAGCTGTACTATTGGGCACATCAAAACAGGCAAAAACAGAGGTTAGACAAAATCTTGGCCAAGTAAGAGCATACACCCTTGTGCAGCAACTCCTTGAATTTCATAGCCAGAAGAATAATACACATGGATTCAAGATGGAGGAGTACTTCAGATTCAATGGCGTGAAAAGACAGCCCCTTGAACTTTTGAACCACACCGGGTTATGCAAGTCTGAAAGAACCTCAAGAAGAGATGAAAAAACCAGAGTAAAGAAACATGATGAAAAACTCTCAAATCTGCAAAATGTATG